GACCACCTGTACTGGTTTATGCCAGAGCCTTTGCAATTCGATTTTGAGGTCTTGATAGCGGCTGAGTTTTTCTTGTTGTTTTTCCTCAATGCCACTGACACCTGGAATGGCAACATCAGTAATCCAGACTTTTTTCTTTTCCACAATCGTGATGTCTGGTGTATTGTGTTCCAAAACTTTGTCAGTCTGGATTCGAAAGTCCCATAGTATTTTTGCATGTTCATTTTCCACAACCTTTGCAGGTTTATGATCCCACCAATTCTTTACTGCTCTCAGGTGGTACTTGTGACATAAATTCCAGTTAATTATCTGGGCCACAGAGTTGTGCCTCTGTTTGTAGTCCGTCTGTGCAATTTTCTTGCAACACCTGAGGATATGGTCCATGGTTTCATCAGCTTCCTTGCACAGTCTACATTTTGAGTCATCCGCTGATTTTTCGATCCTGGCCTTAATTGCATTGGTTCTGATGGCTTGCTCCTGGGCTGCAAGAATCAGGCCTTCTGTCTCCTTCTTTATTATTATTATTATTATTATTATTATTATTATTATTATTATTTCTTACCCACCTCTTCTTCTGGCTCAAGGCGGGTTACAGCACGGTTAAAACACATAAACATTGTCAAAATTCTATAAATACATACATTAAATGTATTTCTATAAAAGACACATATTAAAATATATTTCTATAAAATGTATATTAAAATACACAGAACAGAAATTAAAACACAGTACACGACTTAAAATTCATGATTCAAACTAGCTGAGTAGGCCTGCCAGAAGATGTCAGTCTCCAAATGTGTTTTAAATTCCGACCACTTATTTAACTGTTGGAGCTCTTCTGGCAGGTCATTCCAGAGTTTGGGGGAGGGGTGAAAGGTCCTCTATACAGTAGGATTCAATTTTTTATTAAGACAAGATAGCGAGTGCCATCTCTTGTCCCCAGGCCGCTTGAACACAGAATGGCTATGTAAACAGTTGTGACTGAACCATCCCAATTGTATATATGGGCGTAAAGGTGTGGTTTGCTTTCAATTCTGGGAGAAAAATCAGAGCAACTCACAACTTTGGTTAAGGTGGCTCAAGACTGCGTTAAGTAGCTTTGGCCTGTTTTAACATGGAACAACTCCATGTTTTGCATAGTCACCATAGAGCTGCTTCATTGTAGTGGGCATTGTCAATGGTCAGTGTAGATGTGCCTCTTGTCAGAATCACTACCTTATGATATGAAGTGCAGATTGCAGGACTACAACATTATGTTGAGTGTTGTACCCAGTGAGTGGTCAGTGGCCTATTGCACTCTGGCCCATGAATGAAAATGGAGACACCCAACTGCCCACTGTTTACATACAGTCTGTCAATAACTATCTGCAGATAAAATCACTTGTATGAGTTCCGATTTTGACCCTGCAGCTGAGATACTTAAGTCCAGGGGAAGGGCTACTCTTCAATTTGTGCAGTGGAAGGATATGATCAAGAGTCTTGGAAAAGTCAGAGCCTCCATAGGTATCCTAGACTGTAATTCTTCCTAAATGAGGCTGGGCTGTTGTGGGATTGGCTGAGTAGATAAAAACAAAGCTTCTTTACAGTAAGACAAGGTTTCAGTGTACCTAACAAAGGGCAGATGTTTCACAGGCTGTATTACAACAGCTATTAAAACATAGGCTGCAATTCACTGCAAGAATGTTGGAATGTAATCAAGCAGCAGCCATAATCCGAAAAATAAATCCTGGAAAACTACTGCTGAGCAGTGCATGCATTACAACCATTAACACATTTTGAAAGAATCTGCAAGCCTGTACATCAGGGAATGTTTATTTACTATGGTATCAAAGGGATTATCTGTGCCTTTCCTCATGTCTCATGCTTTTCCAAGGAGGCTCTTCTACAGAGTAGTTACAAGACATTTTCAGTGATGATGTACCTATTAGGCTTGGCTGATCCAAAAAAAATGATTCAAAACTCGTTTCAGATATAGGGGCTCTGGTGGTTTGATTCTAAAGTCAATTCCGATTTTCACAGAAAAAAATGTTCAAAACTTTTCAAAACATCCGAGACTTCTGAATGCTTTCTTTAATAGTTTGAAAGTGTTATTTCCTGTTTCATTGGGTGGTCTTTACTTTGAAAGTAGTTGATTTACTCCAGAGGCGGGGAAAAGCAAGCGGAGGAAATTCCTTCCTTCTCTGGTTTAAAACTGGCTTCTCTGGCTTGAGCCAAGGCCAGGAAATTCCTTCCTTCTCTGGTTTAAAACTGGCTTCTCTGGCTTGAGCTGAGGCCAGGGACCAGAAGCGGGAGAAAAGCAAGTGGAGGAAATTCCTTCCTTCTCTGGTTTAAAACTTTCTTCTCTGGCTTGAGCCAAGACCAGGAAATTCCTTCTTTTCTGGTTTAAAACTGACTTCTCTGGCTTGAGCTGAGGCCAGGGACCAGAAGTGGGAAAAAGCAAGCGGAGGAAATTCCTTCCTTCTCTGGTTTAAAACTGGCTTCTCTGGCTTGAGCTGAGGCCAGGGACCAGAAGTGGAGAAAAGCAAGCAGAGGAAATTCCTTCCTTCTCTGGTTTAAAACTTTCTTCTCTGGCTTCAAAACTGGCTTCTCTGGCTTGAGCCAAGACCAGGAAATTCCTTCCTTTTCTGGTTTAAAACTGACTTCTCTGGCTTGAGCCGAGGCCAGGGACCAGAAGTGGGAAAAAGCAAGCGGAGGAAATTCCTTCCTTCTCTGGTTTAAAACTGGCTTCTCTGGCTTGAGCTGAGGCCAGGGACCAGAAGTGGAGAAAAGCAAGCAGAGGAAATTCCTTCCTTCTCTGGTTTAAAACTTTCTTCTCTGGCTTCAAAACTGGCTTCTCTGGCTTGAGCCAAGACCAGGAAATTCCTTCCTTCTCTGGTTTAAAACTGGCTTCTCTGACTTGAGCCGAGGCCAGGAAATTCCTTCCATCTCTGGTTTAAAACTGGCTTCTCTGGCTTGAGTCGAGGCCAGGGACTAGAAACGGGGAAAAGCTGAATCATTTCCGACTCACTTTATGAATCGTAAGAAAAATGGCGGAAAAAGCTTCGGAGGGGCAAAGAGACTTCTGGTTTTCTTAAAAACTTCAAAATCGCTTCAAAAACATAATTTTTGGCTTTATTTCAAATTACGAAGATTCCGACGGTACCTAACCATGCCTAGTACCTATGATTAAAACCTCAGATTATTGTTTGAAAAGCTCTCTTTCCACTGTAAATACAGATAGAAATAATTCTCTTCAGGGAGATTTTGGTTTGGCCAGAATTTAATGTATATTGGTTTCTACATTCAGCTGGAAACCAATTCATTAAGTGTCATTGCTAGTTATTATTTTGGTGACGTCTTATTACTGTTAACTGCAATGAGCACAGCTTGTTGAAAAAGTGAGTTATGATAGTTTAAATTCAACTCTTCATCTGAATGTGAGTAGATCCATCAAAATACAAATTTAATAGATCAACACTAACAAACAGTCCATTGATTCAATGAGTCTACTCTGGCTGGAATTCACTATTTGAGTTTAGAGCAATAAGAAAATAAATATTTACTTTCACACATTTAGTATGTCACAGAAGGAGGAGGAAGACAAGTAGTTGGCTATGGAAAATTGAAGCAGGGTGGGGGTGAAAGTGGAGCCAGAGCAAGCAAGCAAAATATGAGAAATCAGCAACCTCTTGAATGGTGGAGAGTGGGGAAATTCATCTGAATGGTGAGCAAAAAACATTGGTAGTGTTGAGAAATATTTGGTTGAACTGGCTGTTGATTTTTTTTTTTTTGTCTTTTGCCTGGCTTCGCTGGCTCCACTTTGTCACCTGCAGCTGGTCTGCTGATGCAGAAAATTAAGGGGGTGGATCAGCGGCAAAGCAAAGCTGGAGATGCCAGACAATAGACAGGAAAAAATGAGCAAATGTTTCAGGTAAATATTCTTTAGCATAAGCTCCTCACCCCACCCCGCACCCTTGATCATTTTACAGCTCAGCAGAAGCTTCAAGCTTAGTAACTCAGGATCATTACTTACCAAACCAAGCATGCATTGGGACTCTTGTATTGCTCCACAGCACCCCAAGAAACCAACAAGCATTATGAGAGCACCAGCTCCAATTAGAATGTAAACTCCTGAGGAAGGGTTTAAAAAGAAAACAGAATTATCAGTTGTTACTACGTAAACTTCATGTTTCATCCTACTGAGCAATATGAACGCCAATATACACTGCCTCCAGTATCCTGGCTGTTGCTGTCATCGAATCATCGAGTTGGAAGACACCTCATGAGCCACCTAGTCCAACCCTCTGCCAAGAAGCAGGAAAATCGCATTCAAAACACCCCTGACAGATGGCCATCCAGCCTCTGCTTAAAAGCCTCCAAAGAAGGAGTGTTCACCACACTCCGGAGCAGGGAGTTCCACTGCTGAACAGCTCTCACAGTTAGGAAGTTCTTCCTAATGTTCACATTCACCAGCTTTCCTGCAGAATCTTAATGAAGCCTTACATACTATGTTCAAAGTTTTCTTTTGAACTAGGTTTAAAAAGTCATCAAACCCTTTGTTTTGTTTTGGTGCAATGTTCCAACATTGAGAAGCCCACAGAACATTTCATGACCTACCAGTATAAAATGTTGTATCATTTTCTTCATGATCAAAAATATCTTTTGTCCGCGAATCAAACCGAAGCCATAGTCCAATTGCCAGAACAGCTGTTCCTGCAAGCTGCGGAGAGATGACAACACCAGAAATGTTAGTTATGCCCTCTGAGTGCTTTCATTTAAAGTACACAGAATTATGTTATTTTTCTTCAGTCCTTAGTAATTGTAGAGCAATTGGAGAGATGGTGGTAGGGTATAAATAAAGCATTATTATTATTATTATTATTATTTTCAATACTATTATGTAGCTTCCAAGGGAGACACAAAAAAGATACATCCCTGTGCATAAGGGGCTTGAATATCCATGAGGAGATAGAGCCATGCAATACTGATGTGTTAAATTTGGAAATAAGAAACATTTGTGGAAAATGCTACCCCATTTTGTCCATAAATCTCTTAATTTGGGTTGTTGTAGGTTTTTTTGGACTATATGGCCATGTTCTAGAGGCATTTTCTCCAGATGTTTCACCTGCATCTATGGCAAGCATCCTCAGAGGTAGTGAGGTCTGTTGGAACTAGGAAAAAAGGTTTATATATCTGTGGAATGACCAGGGTGGGACAAAGAACTCTTGTCTGTTGGAGCTAGGTGTGAATGTTTCAACTGACCACCTTGATTAGCATTTGATGGCCTGGCAGTGCCTGGGGCAATCTTTTGTTGAGAGGTGATTAGATGTCCTTGTTTGTTTCCTGTGATTCCGGCCATGAAAGCCTTCAACAATACATTAATCTCTTAATTTACTGCATCACTGTGCAAATAGTATTATTAAGGCTTGTAAAATTTTGGACACACGCTACAGAGCCACAGAGGGTAGAGATGCAAATATTAGCTTAATCCCTTCTAGCATCAATTTCATGTAATTGGGATATTCAGATATTCACTCTGAAAAATGTAAAAAATGGTGGATCTAGGGGAAATGTCAACTTGTTTGCTACTAATCAATCCAAACAACACAACACAAAAACACATCAAATTAAAATAAATCTTTTGAGAAAGCACCAAGGATAATATAAACAATGACTGATTCTAGAATAGAAAACATGACTTTCTTCAAGCAGCCATATTCCTTCCTTGTGCAAAAGACCTTCATAACAACACACCAAAAAATCAACAGTAAAATCTGACATCACTGAACAGTTTAAGATGCACCATGGTCTCTATATGTGGTTGTGTTTGTTCAATGTGACTGAACATCAATAGAGAAGGTTTGCTTTTTGAATAAAAACACTCAGAGCTGCATTTCAATAGCGTATTTTCCTAAATCATGAAAATATTTTTTAAAGTCTCTAGTTTTTCAGGGTAAGTTGTGATATGTCCCTTCAAGCATTGTACACAACTTTGTAGAGATATCTCAAAAACTCCATGCGACTCTTAAAATTAAGCATTTTAAGACAACAAATATATGGTACTGTTAAATCTTCCTCAGTAATATCATCTGAAGACCTTGGGAGTTTCTTTATTTTGGATATATTGTGCCTTGCATGCCTCCCAATACAACTGGTCCAAAATTATTGACACAGAAAAAATCAAATGAAATAACAGGACTTAAAATTATTCAGGGGCTGGGGTGACATAGTGGGTTAAACCACTAAGCTGCAGAACTTGCTGATCAGAAGGTCGTCAGTATGAATCTGCGAGACGGGGTGAGCTCCCATTGTTAGCCCCAGCTTCTGCCAACCTAGCAGTTCGAAAACATGCAAATATGAGTAGATCAAGAGGTACCACTTTGGTGGGAAAGTAACAGCGCTCTATGCAGTAATGCTGGCCACATGATCCAGGAGGCGTTTAAAGACAATGCTGGCTCTTTGGCTAAGAAATTGAGATGAGCATCACCCCTGAGTCGTACTCAACAAGACTTAATGTCATGGGGAAACCTTTACCTTCTAAAGTTATTCATGCAACTAGCTTAGGTTTTGTTAGTTTTCAGTGGGTGCATTCTGAGACTCGATTGTAAGTGGAGGACTGTGTATTTATCATCCATTATGTAATGTCAAAGAGGGCTGTCACAAACATCTGAGTGTAAGAAGGCTCGTAAGGGACTCTAAATACACGGTGTGCTTCAAAGTGGCTACCCCCCCCCCCAAATGGTAACTCTAATTTATGAATTACTAATTAATAGGGCATTTTATTCAGGTGAATCAAGCCATGATGGGTAACCTGAAGACCCTGATGTCCAATGCATGAAGATCTCACAGAGAACCATCGAGTAAATAAGTGGTGGATCTTGCATGCACTCCATAGGCTCCCTCACTTTTAATGTTCAATCTGAGAAGTTGTTGGGAAATTAAGGAGCCCCCAGTGGGGCAGTGGGTTAAACCCTTGTGCCGGCAGGACTGAAGACCGAAAGGTTGCAGATTCGAATCTGGGGAGAGAACGGATGAGCTCCCTCTGTCAGCTCCAGCTCCTCATGCAGGGGCATGAGAAAAGCCTCCCACAAGGATGGTAAAACATCAAAACATCTAGGCATCCCCTGGGCAACATCCTTGCAAACGGCCAATTCTCTCACACCAGAAGCGACTTGCAATTTCTCAAGTCACTCCTGACACGACAAAAAACCCCCCCAAAAAACAAAATACAATCAATTCAACATACTATTGTATATAAATGCTAATCACTAGAAAGTTAGAAGAAACATTAAGGTAGGAGGAAAGTGCTTTTAAAGAAACATAACTATTGCAACACAGGCTTATTTAACTGTTTAGTAGATGGCCATTAACCTACTAGCGTGGTGGAAAGAGGCAACATGGGTTGGAGAATGAGATGGGGAGCACAAGATGTGGGGCACACAAATATCAAATTTTCTTATTAATCCTGTAGAGCTTCAATGGATAGTAATACCATCTATGGATAGTTTTAAATGTGTTTTCTGTAATGTACACTGGTACTGATTGCAAGGTAAGTTTCCCCAAATTTGTTTTTATCTATTTTTATTACCAAGTCCAATTCCCAAGCAATTCCCGTTCCTTTATAGTTGCCAAATTAGCCTCTTGTACTATTTGATATAATTTTGAAGCTTGTCCTTTTGTATTGTTTAGAGCAGCTATGGGCAAACTTTGGCCCTACAGATGCTTTGGACTTCTACTCCCAGAAATCCTAGCCAGTTTACCGGCTGTTAGGAATTGAAGTCAAAAACACCTGGAGGGCTGAAGTTTGCCCATGCCTGGTTGACAGTATTGTTACATTTTAAAATATAGAGGTTTTTTTTGTTTTTGAAAACAAATCTGGTTTTAAGCTTGGATATGGGGTAAAGGTGGCTTTGACCTTGGCAGATGACCTATGCCGGGAACTAGACATGGAGTGTTAGGTCCTATTCATTACAGTAGACCTCTCAGCAGTGACATATGCCTTAGTTACATTCTAATTGCATGACTAACAGGTTCTACATAGGGCTTCCGTGAAGAAGGAAATTTCACTTTGTCCAAAGGATTGCAGCAAGATTGGTAACTGGAGCTGACTACAGCGAGGGAATAATTCCTCCCTGTATAGCAGGGGTCCTCAAACTTTTTAAACAGAGGGCCAGGTCACAGTCCCTCAAACTGTTGGAGGGCCGGATTATAATTTGAAAAAAACATGAATGAATTCCTATGCACATTACACATATCTTATTTGTAGTGCAAATAATATAATAATAAAAAAACTTTATTTATACCCTGTCACCATCTCCCCAAGGTACTCGGAGTGGCTTACATGAAGCCAAGCCCAACAACACATCAAAAACAACAAGCAATAATAAAACAACAAGCAATAAACAAAAATAAGCAATACAGTTAATATAACTCACAGGTAAACAATAACACACAAGAGTTTAAAAATCTATGGCTGGGCCAGATGCAATAGTTAAACCTTTAAAAATAAATGCTGGACATGAACAGAGGATGTATCTAGTAGGAGGGTTTTAAACCAAAAGTAGAGAACAACCCAACGGGTAATTGAAGTGCTTCTCAGGGTATTTTGCAGGGGATTGTTTGCTTTATTCAGGGAAGGTGCACTGGAACAGCCATGTTTTCAGGCTCCTCCTAAAGACTGCTAATGTGGAGGCTTGTCTGATATCCTTGGGGAGTGAGTTCCAGAGTTGGGCAGCAACCATGAAGGCCCTCTCCCTTGTCCCCACTAATCGCGCCTGCGAGGGAGGTGGGGGCGAGAGCAGGGCCTCCCCAGATGAACAAAGAGATCGTGTGGGTTCGTACACAGAAATGTGGTCATGCAAGTAGCTGAGTCCCAAACCGTTCAGGGCTTTGTAGGTCAGAACCTGTACTTTGAATTGGGACCGGAAAATGAACGGCAGCCAATGTAGCTCTTTAAACAGGGGAGTTGACTGCTCCCTGTAAGTCGCCCCAGTAAGTAGCCTGGCTGCCACCCGTTGGACCAATTGAAATTTCTGAGCCATCTTCAAGGGCAGCCCCACGTAGAGTGCATTACAGTAGTCCGATCTGGAGGTGACTAAGGCGTGGACCACCTTGGCCAGATCCGACTCTACGAGGTACATGCCCTCATATCTGGCCCTCAGGCCCAATTCTATCGTTGGTGGGGTTCAGAATGCTTTGATTGTAGGTGAACTATAAATCCCAGTAACTACAACTCCCAAATGTCAAGGTCTATTTCCCCCAAACTCCATCTGTGTTCATATTTGGGCATTTGGAGTATTCGTGCCAAGTTTGGTCCAGATCCATCATTGTTTGAGTCCACAGTGCTCTCTGGATGTAGGTGAACTACAACTCCCAAATCTCAAGGTCAATTTCCCCCAAACTCCAACTGTGTTCTGTTGGTCATGGGAGTTCTGTGTGCCAAGTTTGGTTCAATTCCATGATTGGTGGAGTTCAGAATGCTCTTTGATTGTAGGTGAACTATAAATCCCAGCAACTACAACTCCCAAATAACAAAATCAATTTTTGAGTGATGGCCACTCCTTGGGTTAGTAGGTCTCTTGGCCAAATTTGGTGGCAATTCTCCAGTGGTTTTTGAGTTATGTTAATCCCACAAACGAACATTACATTTTTATTATATAGATACTTACCCACGCTTGCTGTGGCTCAATTATTATTTTGTTACTTCAATCACTCTTCCTG